ATGGAAAATGAAGCGGCCTCGCCAACCAATCCTGCCCAGCCAGTATCTTCCTGCTGACCCGGGGGCTGGGTCTCTACCAGGGCCTGGGCAGAGCTCTGGAGGCCAATCCCAGGATGATGTGTGGCTCTGCTGGAGGTGATTGATGATGGGAAACCAGATCCCAAAGCCAGGAGCCTCGGGGGCCACCTGAGTCCCTCTGGCTGGAGGTGGGCCTGGCCTTGGCCTCTGCCACTTACAAAGAATGCTCAGCTCCTTGTTGTGGCAACCTTGCTGGCAAGCGTGGAAACAAGACTCCCTCCCAAGAGGCTCCCATGGAATGGCTTAGATGTGGGCCTCAGTGCCAGGGCAGGGCAGGGCTTGGCTGCCAGGCCAGGCCAGCTGAGCAGCTGACCCCCACTTAGCCCAGGCTGGCTGTTGGGAGCAGTCCTCCTACCGGACTGCCTTGGTCCCCAAGGAATTTGAATGAATGCCACCTGGCAATGACCAGCCCCAAGGCCACCTCCCTCAGAACACTTTTCTTGATTGCTCTTGGCCTAAGCTCTTTTTCTTTCTCTGACTTCCGAGGCATTATATGTGCTTTAAGGAAAAATAAAAGAAAAGAAAAAACAACTGTAATGATCACTTTCCTACTCTCTCCTACTCTCCACCCCCACCTCCACCAGGCCCATTCAGGAGGCTCCTGCCTCTGCCCGCCTCCGCCAGCAAGGCTTCGACTCTGTGGTTCTGTCACGGGTTCATTCCCAGGAATGGCACCTCCAGCTTTCCCAGCACCTTTCAAGTTCTGAGGGCTTCCACGTTGTCGTGGCATTAAATCCTCACCGCATGCAAGCCGGACAGGAGGTCTTCAACCCATTTTACAGAACAGGAAATGGAGGCAGGGCCAGAGAGGTTAAGAGCCATAGTTGAGACCACACACCAAATTGGCAGAGAGAGAGCGAGGCCTGAGCTCCTTCTCACTGCAGGGCCCCCGCCCTCCCTGCCTCCCCCCATCTTCCTGCAGCCCCAGGGATGTCCAGCTCAGAGCAGCTGCCTTCACATGCCACCAGAATCATATTTTTACAAGTGCTGGCTCCCCAGCCAGCCCAGACTTCTAGCCCCAGGCTGGCTGGGAGGCAGCTAAGAATAACCCCTCTTGAGCCTCCCCAGCAGCTGCTGCTCTGTTTGGGGCGGGCAGAGCTCAGGGTCTGTGGGTCTGCAGCTTTTCTAAGGCGGCAGGAACTTCTAGGGGAGGGGCTGGGCCCCTGGAAGGGAGGTGTTGGGTGTAAGGAACTCACACTCAGGGAACCCCCAGAGGCCCAGAGCAGGGGGGCAGGGCAAGGACCCCTTCTCTCCTGCCCACCGGGGGCTTACCAGGTGACCTGGGGTGGAGGCGAGGCCTGGACGGTGCAGGTCAGTAGGACCGTGGTGTGCTCCCAGACGGCGTGGGAGCGCAGCGGGATCCAGAACCAGGGTCCGCGTCCGGAGCACAGCTCCCTCAGCTCCTTGGCCTCCCGGACGTTCTTCTCTGTCTGGAGGCGGGAGGGGGCCTGTGACTTCTATGAGCCAGGGCACCACCTCTCCCCAGTCTTTGCTGTTACCTTTCCCCCCGACACCCAGGCTCTGGAGTCGGGCCCACGTGGACTAGAGCCGCGCCCCCCACCCCCACACCAGCGGCTGAGGCAACGTGCCACAGAGGGCAGGGCGTGGGGTCAAGGCCAAACGCTGCCACTTACTAGCTGTGAGACCATAGGCCAGTCCTCCATTTCCTTATCTGTAAAATGGGGATGATAATAATATTCCCCCACCCTCCTGTAGGGTTGCAGTGAGGATTAAATGAGTTAATATGTGAAAAACATAGGCACTGGTAACACCCATGTAAGTATTACAGCCATTGTTGTCCTGCCCAGGGAGGGGATATGGAAGTGGCTTCAGATCCCTGACATTTGTCAGGAGTAGCATTCCCTGAGAGTCTTCTGTGTTCTAGGCACTGGGAAAGTGACTTTACCAGCTTGATCTCATTTACTTCCCACCTCGACACCAAGCACTGGTACCACATACACCCATTTTACAGATGAGAAAACCGAGGCTCAGTTAGAATTATTGCTTGACCAAGGTCACGCAGCTAGAGGGTAGGGGCACTGGGATGTCCAGCTCTTCTTGAGAAGGGGGTAGGTCGAGTTGGATGGCGTGCGATGGGTCACAGTTTTCAGGGCCCTGGAGGCCCCAGCCCATCCCTCTCACCCGACATCTCAGCGCCTTCCGGTCTCGCCTCTGGCGCAGCAGCCACTGGGTCCGTAGGAAGGCGATCTCCGTCCTCTCCCACTCATTGCCGAAGCCCACCCGCTTCTGCCCTCGCTCCTCCAGCTGCACAGTGCTGGTCTGGCGCCTCAGCTGGGCCTCCCTGCGGTGACGGAGGCTGTCAGAGGTGGAGACCCTGGGCATGGTGATGTGGGGACATTCTGGCCCTGCCTTCCCCACGCCCAGCACTGCCGGCCACACTTAAAGCTTCTTGAGGACAAGGGCAACTTTTAATCCTCTCTTGCCTCCAAAATACCCTGAGTGGGTCCGGCTTTTAGAAGGTGTGTAATGAATATTATTGATAGAGTTCACAAGGCTCTTTCACAAACCATCGTTCCTCTTGTTTTCACTACAAGCAGGTGGACAGGTCTTAGTCTCCCCATTCTACAGGGTAGGGACCTGAGGCTGGGTAACCTGCTCTAGGCCAGCCAGGACCAGGACCCAGGCCTCCTGATGCTCTCAGGCTCAGAGGCCTTCCCATCCCGGGCCTCGTGCCCAAAACATGGGCTGCTTTCCTTGTTCCTCCTCTCCCCATCCCCGCCTCCTTCCCTGCCACGGCAGCCGGGTGGTAAAGCACAGACCCCCACCAGCCTCTCCCCCCGGGGATGCTCCCTCACTACTGCCTGAGGGCTCATCCAGAGGGTGGTGCAGTGGGCTTTGTGGTCAGTCAGCCCCGGGCTTAAACCTCTGACTAGCCGCTTACTCTAGATGTGTAACTTTTGGGCAGGTTCTTTAAGCTGAGTGTGGGAGCCCAGTGGGGAGGCAGAGGACTGGACAGGATGACCTCTTCCCAGCCCAGGGCTCTCTGGCAAGGTCACCTGACTTACCACGATGTCTCTGAGGAGGCCGTCAGAGCCAGGGCTGCTGCGAGGGCGTAGTCTGCCGCGCTGAACCGATAGTCTTCCTCACTGCCCCCGGGAAAAGAGAGTTCATGGCTCCTGCAGGTTTGGCTGGGGGTCTGGCTGGGGGATCCATCTTCCTACCTCGGGGTACTAGCAGGCACCCTCGTTCCTCACACCGGGCTCTCAGAAAGCGGGGCTGTGCCTGTCTCCTCAAACTCAAGTACACAGAGGTCAAGGCTACACCTCCCCCCGCAGACCAGGGCCTCCAGAGAGCAGGGCTGTGCCTCCCCGGTGGACTGAGGGCCCTGGGGGCAGCGCAGGGGCTGGGGTGGGTCCCCGAGGCTCCCACCTGCTGCGGAAGGTCCGTTTCCGCGTGGAGGAGCCCGTCCACAGGCTGTGCTGCTGCTCAGCTTTCTGCTCTTCCTCGTGGCGGTGTTCCAGCCTGTGCATCGCCACGGCCTGGGATGCCCGGGGCTCCCCCATACCTCCCGGGCTCTGAGGCAGAGTCATGGCTGCAAGAGCGACAACCTGCCGAGCCAAGGTACACGGTCACTCCACCAGGTGTCCACCCGCCCCTTCCCCGTGGGGTCCGCCAGCATCTCTGGAGGTTTGCCGGTAGGGGTTCTCTCTCCCGTGGGCAGACAGGGGAGCTCAGGCCTGATGCGGGGGGACCCGCCCCAGATGACAGAGGCAGGCTTTTGCGCTCTCAGCCTGGCTTGTCCACCACTCCATGCGCTGCCCCAGCGGCTCCCGGCTTCCAGCGGCATCTGCCCCGCAACCCCCGCCACACAACCTAGGCAAGGCCCTCCCTTCTCCGGGTCTCAGCTTCCCAGACGGTGAGGGATTGAGCACTCTGATGTCCGGGACGTGGAGAGGCAGGCGAGGAGAGTGGGGGACCCCCAGCTAGCTAGCTCTGGGTTCTTTGCACTAAATTCTTTCCCAGATCTGGGGTGCGGTGTCACCACCAGGCCTCTGAGGGCCCTCTGATGCTGAAGCTCTAGGATGCCTGGTGGAAGCCCTGGAACGGCTTCCAGTCCTCCAGGGGGGAATTCGGGGCCAGGCCTCTGACCCGGGAGGCCCTGATGTAGACGCTGGGCATGAAGGCGGAAGAAGAAGGGGGGCCACCGCCTCAGCCCCCTCCTGTCTGCTCCTGTGAGGTCCGGCTCTGCCCTGTCCGTGCCTCTCCCTCGGGGCCTGCTGGCTGTGGCAGAGTGTGTGTGCGGGACTGTGTTCTGACCTGGGTGTGAACTTGCCCGTGGGGGACCATTTCTCTAAGTCTATGATGTGGGAGGTGGGCCCGCTGACCTCGTCAGAGATCCTTGGCCTAAAAGGGCCTGTTCTGAGGCGTCAGGGGGCTCAGGCTGCCAAGGGTCAGTTTTATTGGGATTTGATCCTTCCGGTTCCTAAAAGTTTGCTCACTTTGGGCGTCCATAAAGGACACCCAAGGCAGACTGGGTTGCTGAAGAGTGTTCGCCGAGACCAAGGGCTGCCCGTGAGGCTTCTTTGGCCTCCTACAGTGACCTCGGCTGAACACAACGGGACAGTCACCCCTTGGGCTTCCCATCCGCTTCCTCCTGAGAAGGAGGGTCTGCCTGCACCCAGAGAGTGACTGGCCTGCCCTTTCTGTTCCTTCCTCCTCACAACCCAAGGAGAGAGCCGCTGGGTACCACCCTGCGCAGGGAGGCCCCTGGCTTTCCTGGGACATATGTCCCCGGCCCCAGCAGCTGAGGGTTACCGTTCCCTGGCATCAGCTGCTGGCTCCCTTCCCCGGATGCTCTGTTCCTGATTGGCGCAGCAGGGCAGGCCTGGCGCTCATCCCTGACCTCCAGGGCTGCCTGCAACCAGCCCCCTTGTTTTAGTGGATGAGCCATCGATTCTTTTTAAAGCGATGACTGAGGCTAAGGATTAGGCAGCAAGGAGGAAATCGTAGCTTCCCAGTCCTGTCCCCAGAGTGCTGTGTGCCTGCTACGGAGGGGTCAGCAGGGTGTGGTCGGCCAGGAAGGGAAATCGTCCCCCGTGCCCTCTCCGGAGGGTGCAAAGCCGCGGGCCAGGGGTCCTGCTGTGTGGCTTTCCCCACCCACTCCACTTTCCTCCCAAGCCTCAGTCTGTCTGCCGCCCACCCCCAGCCCTGCCCCGCCCAGTCCCCTGAGAGCATCCCTCAGTGAGAAGGGGCAAGGAGGCCTCTCCTATTCCTCAGGAGTGGAAGAGACGCGCACCAAGCCACAGTGACTCGGAGCCCTGATGGCAGAAAGCTGGGTCCTGTGGGCGGGAGCGGAGACACAGCCTGCCCAGCCTGGGATGTGCTCTTAATGCTCCCACTAGCTTCCGAGGCTGGAGTGCTGGCCTTGGTTTCGTACCAGCGAGCCCAGGCTGGATGAACGCCCTCCCCGCCTTGCCATGCGGGCCCTTCGGGCTTGCGCTCATCCCCTGCCTGCCAGGCCGGCCAAGCAGGGCCCCGCCAGGACTGCTCTAGGTTTGCTGGACCTGCCAGTCCACCCCGGTCCCTGCTGATGCCTGCTTCCTGCAGGAAAGCCTCCACTTCTCAGGGCATCCCCAAATGATGTGTGTGCGTGTGTGTGTGTGTGTGTTTTGTAGCTTTCACATCACAGAAGGCTCTGCTCAGAAGACCCAGGGCCACACAGAACAGTGTGATGGGGCAGAGATTTTTTTCTAGAATCCCCTCTCACTTCCACTTGGGGTGATACCTAAGCACATGTATACTTTTGCTTTCCAAATCTCCCAGGATCCTTTCCCAACACACACACACACACACACACACACACACACACACACACACACACCCCACTTGCCAATGGAAAGCTGAGGGTCTCATTTTCTAGAGGTCTCCCTCCCCACCCCTGATCCCTGGAGGTGACTCACAGAAGCAGCCGTGCCCGCTTAGGTGTCTCTGGGGAGAAGGTTCCAGAGGATCCTTGATTTCTTCTTGCCCTGGACTCAGCAGGGACCGAGAGGAGAATGTGATCTTGGAGCCTGCACGGGCCTTAAATATAGCAGCGCTGAAGCAGTATGGGGGGGTGGGGGGGGGGGGGGGCGGTGCCGACAGAGGGAGGGGCCGTTCCCTGGGTCCAGCATTGCCAAGACGGCAGCAACAGGTGGAGCTGTCCCCACCCCCACCCCCTCCCAAAGACAGCTCCTCCCCTCGGCTCCATCCCCACTGCATTGGAAAGGAGCTCATCGCTCAGGCCTGGTTGTATGGAAAACAGGTCAGGGGAGGTTTTCTCAGCTGCTGGGAGCTCTGATCTGAATTCTACCTCCCCCCGCCCTGCCCACCACCATGACAGGTGCTTTGGGGAAGACCCTCAGCTTCTCTCATCTGATTCCCCTTCTGAAAATGGAGATAGTGAGGCTGGGCCCCCAGACTTTGTGAAGACATGGAGGGGATGTGACCTAAAAATGAGTCTTCAGTGCTCGTAAGTTATCACTGGTGAAAATGGAAGTGGGTTTCTTCTCATCTCTCTACACAGCCCCCTCCAGCAGCTACCGACCAGCCCCGCCCGGCCGCAGTGGGGTATGTGCGAGGGTGTGCGCAGGGGTGTGGCACAGGCAGGGCAGGAGGGGAAGCCTTCTCCCCCTCCACTGTGCAAAGTTCTCAGGCTTCCCTAGTGGCCACTGTGGGAACTTTCTTCCCCACCTCTGCTCACCCTGCTCCCATCTCAATTTTTTCCCCTCATGTTCATTCATACCTAGGCCTGGTGGACACTGAGGATGCAGAGGGGAAAAGATAGATGCCTGACGTTAGGAAATCAGCCCTAATCTAGACGGGGAGACAGGCACTTACAACAGGACGTGATGAGGAAGATACACCTGAGCCAGGTCTCGGGGGATGAGCAGGTTTGGGGGAGGCTGTGCCCCAGTGCAGAGACACAGCTTCCCTCCTGGCCTCCTCCTGGAGCCTCCGGGGGGGCCCAGCAGCACTGTGCCTGTCATTCTTCCTAGTGCCTTGGGGACCCCTCAGGAGAGGGTGTTGGGGAGAGAATACACAAGTGAGCTCTTCAGACAAAATCTCAGTCTCCTAAAAGGGAACCCTCGCGCACTACTGGTAAGAATGCAAATAGGTGCTGGCACTATGGAAAACTGTATGGCGGTTCCTTGAAAAATTCAATAGAACTACCATATGATCCAGCAATTCCACTCCTGGGAATATATTTAAAAAATGAAAACATTAATTCGAAAAGATACATGCACCCCAGTGTTCATAGCAGCATTATTTACAATTGCCAAGATATGGGAGCAACCTAAGTGCCCATCAACAGATGACAGGACAGAGAAGATGTGGTGTGTGTATACAATGGAACACTACTGAGCCATAAAAAAGAATGAAATTTTGCCATTTGCAGCAACATGGATGGACTTGGAGGGCATTATGCTAAGTGAAATAAGTAAGACAGAGAAAGAAAAATACTGAATGATATCACTTATATGTGGAATCTAAATAATAAAACAAACTAGTGAATATAACAAAAAAGAAACAGACTCACACATATAGAGAACAAGCTAGTGGTTACCAGTGGGGAGAGAGAAGGGGTGGGGGAAGATAAAGGTAGGGGATTAAGAGGTAAAAACTACTGTGTATAAAATAAATAAGCTACAAAGGTATATTGTATAACACAGGGAATATGCAATATTTTATAATAACTATAAATGGACTATAACCTTTAAAGTTGTGAATCACTATATTGTACACCTGAAACTTATGTAATATTGTACATCAAATATACTTCAATAAAAAATATTAAAATAGGGCCTCCCTGGTGGCGCAGTGGTTGAGAGTCTGCCTGCCGTTGCAGGGGACACGGGTTCGTGCCCCGGTCCGGGAAGATCCCACATGCCGCAGAGTGGCTAGGCCCGTGAGCCATGGCTGCTGAGCCTGCATGTCCGGAGCCTGTGCTCCGCAACGGGAGAGGCCACAACAGTGAGAGACCCGCGTACCGCAAAAAAAAAAAAAAAATAATAATAATAATTAAAAAAAAAATTCTCAGTCTCCTGCCCTATTTGAAACCCCCTTCCTACGCATCTCCCTTCCTTCCTGGATGCAGCATTAAGAGCATTTTTGGGTGGAGACCATTTGATGGCTCTCTCCCATTTTTTTTTTTAATTTATAAATTTATTTATTTTTGGCTGCATTGGGTCTTCATTGTTGCACACGGGCTTTTCTCTAGTTGCGGCGAGCGGGGTGCTACTCTTCGTTGTGATACGCAGGCTTCTCATTGCAGTGGCTTCTCTTGTTGCGGAACACGGGCTCTAGGCACACGGGCTTCAGTAGTTGTGGCACACGGGCTCAGTAGTTGTGGCTCGCAGACTCTAGAGCGCAGGCTCAGTAGTTGTGGCGCACGGGCTTAGTTGTTCCGCGGCATGTGCGATCTTCCTGGACCAGGGCTTGAACCCGTGTCCCCTGCATTGGCAGGTGGATTCTTAACCACTGCGCCACCAGGGAAGCCCTCTCTCCCATTTTATACTGACCCAACCTAGGAAGGGATTTCCAAGACCCACATTTATACATTCATTGTGAGGAGTGAGTGTGAATCTGTTTTACAGCCAAGAGGTGTGGGCTTCCAATCCAGCACGAGACAGACATTTAAACTGGTTCTATAACCCCTTCCCCCCAAAGCAGCCTGATGGAGGTGCCCCCACCTACTAGCTCTATGACCTTGGGCAAGTCACTTAGCCATTTTGGTTTTATCACCTGTGCAGTGGGGTCAATGATGCCTGCCTTGCAGTCTGATTGCAAAGATTCAAATAGGGAATGTGGAGCCTGTGGTGCAATGTCTGGCACCCAGCAACATTTGCTAAGTGAGAGCTCCACCAATAACTGCACGACTCTAGGCGTGCTGAGAGCTTTCTCTACCCCTCCTTCTGGGTGTGGGATTCCCATGTACTCCATGTACCCTAACCCAATGATGCCCTCCCCCCTCCTGATGTGCCTTAATGTGAGCACAGCTAGCCCTCAGGCCATGAGGCTGAGCAGAGGTCAGACTTGGAGGTATAGCAACCTTGGTTTAAATCCCAGCCTCAGGACTTCCCTGGTGGTCCAGTGGTTAAGAATCTGTGCACCCAATGCCGGGGGCCTGGGTTCGATCCCTGGTCAGCGAACTAGATCCCGCATGTCACAACTAAGAGCCTGAACGCTGCAACGAAGATCCCGCATGCTGCAACTAAGACCTGGCGCAGCCAGATAAATAAATATTAAAAAAAAAAAATCCCCACCTCTGGCACCTGTACTAATGGGGGGATCTTGGCCTCCTTTCTGGGCCGTTTCTTTATCTGCAAATTGTATACAAGCTCTAAGACAACAGGGAACTTGCCTGCCTGTCTTGTTCACTGTATCCCTAGCCCCAGGAACAGTGCCTGGCATACAACTGGGTCCCTGATATATGCTTTTTTTCTTTCTTTCTTTTTTTTTGGTCACACCATGTGGGATCTTAGTGCCCTGATGAGGGATGGAACCCGTGTGTGCCCCCTGCAGTGGAAGTGCGGAGTCCTAACCACTGGCCCGTGTATGCTTGTCAAAAACGAACGAATGAATACCTATCTTGCAGAATGTTTATGATATTCAAATGAGGTTAAAATGCGTGAAATGCCTGGTATAGTATTTAACTCATGGCTAGTACTTCTTAAATATTTCATTCTTTCTCCCCTCCTTTTCCCTTTCGTTGCCCTCCCTGGACTTATGAATATTATGGACGGTCATTTGAACCCTATTCCACCTGCCAACCATCCTGAACCTCCACACCATTGTCTGACAGCAACCAAACTGTCTTTGGCTGATGGCGCCATCTGGTGGTCAAGTGGAGAACTGTCTGGTCCAATGCGTTCTCCCACTACCTCCTTTCTCCCTGCTTTAGTCTCCCTTCCCTCCCTCTGCTGCTCTCACACTTCAGTTAATTCCAGTTACTGTTCTTCTCATACTAGCAGGTCAAAACACATCTTCCTTATGCCCCTTCCTCCTTAGAGTGGGAAGGGAAAATCAGCTGAGGGCCTGAGGGTGTGGGGATGGGATCTCAGAGCTGTGTCCCTCTGTCCAGGCTGACACTCAGACTGGGGATGGGCACAGAGGGATCCAGCCTTGCCCTCCAGGACTCTGGAGGAGCCCTCGTCCCCAATAGCCCTATTCTCTGGGTGGAAATTCAGGCAACCCCTGTGTGTTCTTGGGGCCGGGGGTTTGGGAGGCCAGGGATCTGTAGCCATCCCAGGTTGAAATACCACCCCTTGTTGCAGCTCCCCAACTCCCATACAGGGGAGGAGATGGGGGTGGCTCTAGGGGGATGATTTGAGGCCACAGGATAGGAAAATTGGTATAAGAGCATGGTTCCCTCCACTTGCCTAAGAGGAATCATCAAAGGAGTTTACTGAGAATCTGGATTCCCCAGTCGCTATGGATTCAGCAGGTCTGGGCTAGGGCTGAGGAAGCTGTATTTTTAGTAAGCTCCTCAGGGGATTCTCATGGTGAGGCAAGTTTAGGAAACCATCTTGGGCAAGAAACCCCTCTGAGCCACATTTTCCTCCTTTGTAAAATATCAGTAATGCAGCCTATTAGGGCAGGTGAATGGAAGAATGAGCCAGCGAGGACAGGAACTTCCCAGCAGCGGGGTTGAGTTCCTCCTCCTCTGACTTCTCCTCGCGCAGCCACTGCTGGACTACTATTCGTTTGCTCCTGGGCTGGGCTCTGCCTGCCTTGGAGGCAGGTGACACCTCGCAGACTCACCTTTCTCTGGACTGCGTGGGGCAAGGCTGTGGAGAGTCCTGGTGGTGGAGTCAAAGCCTAGGACACTCAGGAATGCCAGCGTCCCAGTCCAGCTCCGGGGCCTTGGACACCCTGTCCCCTAGCTGGTAGCCTGAGCTGCCTTCCTGGGAGGCCAGAGACCTGAGGGGGTATGCAGCCTGGTGGGGACAGGGCCAGCCTGAGGAGGGTCACAGGACCCAGAGAGTCATGGACTGTAGGAACGACTGTCGCCCCAAGGAGCTTAGAGAGCTTTGTGGCCTATGAGTTGGAAGAGGTGTTTATGGCTTTTAGTAAAAAATCCTCTAACACCCTGGCCCACTCACCTGGTGAGAACAGTCCAACTGTTAAGCTGTTTTTCATGACTAAACAAGGTGAGACAGTCAACCTTTGGCCAAGTTCACCCTGAGTGACAGGAAGCAGGCTTGTTTGTAGTTTGGGGGAAGGGAGCAGTCATTAGGGCCAACGTAGCAGCTGCCGGGAGGAGAAAGGGCTGGGGGTGTTGGAGAGGGCGGTCCCTCCCTCTGCTATGGAGATATTGGGTCTAAACCAGTGACCCTGAAGAGATGTTAAATATTAATTACAAACAGGTAAGGACAGTGCTCCCGGGTGCTGTGTCGCAGGGAGGGGAGGGGTGAAGGGGGCACGTACTGGGTACAGAGGAGGGAGGGCATCGCACGCTCCGGACAGGGTCTCACCGGGGCAACTGGACTTTGATGCTGTTTCTCAGAAATGTTCAGACAGGGCTTTGGGACAGGATGGGGTCGGAGGCACTTGCCCCTCGGGGACCCCATTGGGGCCCTCCCCTCCTTGTGCCCCAGGAGTCTGATCCTACAAGAATCCAAACTGGTGTGGAAAGTTCCTTCTCTTGATGGAGACAAAAATCGCTAGGTTTGAGCTCCAACTGTGTCACGGCCTCAGTGGGGGCCTGTGGGGGGAGCCCCTTCTCCTCTCTGGGCCTTGGTTTCCTCATCAAACGGGTCACGTGAGATGCAATGATACAAAGGATGTGACAGGGTGCTGAAAGCTCGGACAAGGACCCTGTGCAAGGGCAGGAGGACAGGGTAGCCCTGTGCTGCCTCTGGTGGGGTGTCGGGGAGGAAGGTCCTCTGAGAATGCTGCTGTCACTCCCAAAACAGCTTCCACCTATGAACTCAAGGAGAAGGTTCCATTTGTCCCTGGACCCTGTTTCCTGCAATCCCTTCCCTCGCCCCCTCCTAAACAGTCCAGCTCCTCCCACTTGGCCTGGAGCAATCCTGAGGAAATCAGGATAATTTAAGCCCATGAGAAAACGCCTGATCCAAAATCAAGCTGAATTGGGGGAGTGGGTCACTCCTGTACTGTCCTATTTTTTAAAAATCACAACAGGAAATACTACTGTTTATTGGGCACTGCCCATGAGCCAGGCACTATGAAACACTTTGCCGACATTATTTAATTTCATCCTCACCACAACCCTGTGAAGTCAGTGTTATTATCCCCATGACACAGATGAGGAAACTGAGATTTTGAGCCGTGATTCATTTGCTTGAAGTCACATGGCTTTTAAGTACTAAGTCCGGAATTTGAATCCAGGTGGGCTGAATCCAAGGCTGAGTTTCCAAAGTTTGAAGTAGGTACAGTTTGTAGTTGTGTCTCCTTCAGTTGCCCCATGGCCCCATGTTCCTTTCAAACCCTGCTGCCAGGATAGGGTCTGAAACTCCTGCCGACAGAAAAGGCTTCTGGGTTCTCCCTCCCTGTTGGACCTGCATTTCACTTGGGATAAAGCCTCTAGCAGAGGAATGAAACTGAAATGGTGCAATTCCAGGCAGTAGCCCTGGTTGGGGATGAGCCGCAGGCCGCACCCCTCCCTGGAATCTTGCCATCAGGCTGCCTCTGGACTTGGCAGAAGTGCAGGTTATTCTGGTTCTGTCCAGTCTGCTGTGAGGTGTCCTTTTTCAGGCTCCTTTTCTCACCTTTGGAGAACCACAGAGGAGGCAGAGGCCTCACTCTGCTGAACTAGATTATGAAAGTGGCCAGGAATGAAGACAGGTAGGCTCATGGAGAACTTTGCATCCAGCGTATTAGGAGCCGGGGCCCTGGATCTCCGGGAGGTTCCCCATATTAACTCCTGCACTCTGACTGTCCGTCCTGCCCTGCAGAACTTGGCGTGCACATGCTCATTTGCACTCGCTCGTTTGTATATGATGCATTTCTGTAACTTCTCTGGCTGGAGCCCTTCTCACGCCTTTTTGCTCCAAAGGGAGCTCAGCCACGGCAGGGGTCCGGCATCCTCCTTCTGCTGGTTCCTCAAGGGCAACCACCCGGGGCTGGGCTGCAGAGTGTGCAGTGCCGCTGGGTGCGGGAGTGACGGCCAAGGATGCGAGGTGAGGGTGGGGACAGGAGGAAGCCCCAGGCCCACCCTGTTCCCGCTCAGGTCTCCCACTGCACCGTCAGGGCCAGGCCTCTGAACAGAGAGTCCAGCTCCATGGGCGACTCCAGGTCTGGGGCCCGAGGGCCTGGGCTCTGGGCCTCAGTCTCGGATGCTGGACCCTCATCACTGGGACACACGAGGGACTCCAGCAAGCCCCACGGACGCGGACCCTTGTCTGTGGGGGAACATGGGCGGGAAGGAGTCTGCAAAGGGAGGGACACGGGGTGACCCTCGATCTGGACAGAGGAGAGGAGGGGCAGCTGGCCCTTTACGTAGCTTCGTGTCCTTGGCTCTCCTCTGCGTATGACATCAGAGTCAGGTTCTCTGTCCGTGTGAACCCCCAGATGCTGGTGGAAGGATTTTACTTCTTGGGGGTCCTCCATAGCCAAGGAGGTCACCTGCTGCAGAGAAAGGCCACCTGGGCTGCAGCTTCCAGCTGGTGCCTCTTTCTGGAGCTGACCCTTAGTTCCGAGATGTTTGGGACCAGAGAGTGTCATAGGTGGGGGGTCTCTGCCAGAGCCTTCCCCGCATATCCCGTAGGAAGGAGTCCAGCTGTCCGGAGTGGCCTGAGGGGTGTAGGAAGGAGGCTGGGCCTCTGAGATGGCCTGGGGAGTGTAGGAGGGGGGGTTAGTTTTGGCGATTACCTGAGGTGCATAGGACAGGGGCCCGCCCTCAGGGGCAGCCTGGGGGGCATAGGACAGTGGGGGAAGTGTCTGGAGAGGTGGCCCGCCAGAGGGCTGGAGGATGGAGAGGTCCGGCTGCCCAAGGTAGGCGACCTCAGACAGGCTGTGTCGCGGTGGGGCTCCTGGAGGCTCGATGGGCCCAGAGACCTTGACTTGGGAGTACTGGACAGGCTGCACCAGGCCGCTCGGGCCACTGAGGTCAAAGACGGGGCTTAAGATGTGCTCCTGGATGAACTGCAGAGGCTGGAAGGTCAGTACGTGCTGGACATCCTGTGCAGGGAGAACAGTGTGACCGTTAGGGTGTGTTCAAGCTCTCCGAGGGTGCCGTGCGTGCCGCGGTCCTCCGCAGGGCTGGGGGTGAAGGGGAAGGGGTAGACCACCTGGGGGCTTTTCCACGATGTGTGAGCCCCGTATCCCTTCCCAGGGATTCCTCTAAGTGCTGGAGCCTCTGTGAAGGGACAGGGCTCCCGGCCTGTTAGCTAAGGGCCGCTTCCAGAGTCTGGTTGTCTAGGGAGAGCGGGTAGGCTGTGGTTTCTCTAGGAGGTGGGCACTCTGGAAGCAGCTGGCTCGGGTTTGGGGTGCCCTTGGGGAATGCTCTCCAGGTGCTGGCTCAACTGCTCCTGAGCTCTGGGTCCCTAAGGGCCTCACGTGGGAAGAAAGGTGGGGAAGAATGGGGGACAGGGGAGGCCCGGAGAGTTTTACAGGAAATGGCTCATCTGGTCTGTGACTTGGAGGGGCGGATGGGTGTGAGCCGTCTCTGCGAGCCCCAGACTGTGCAGGCTCTGCAGCGGGCATGGCTGCTTTAACAAACATGTAGCTCTGGTGGCCAGACTTGGGCTGCCGATGTGACGTGTATGGTTTGCAGGGGTTTAGTTTTAAAAAATTAGTTGCCAAGATTTGAAACATGGGAGATTTCACATTACAATCTGAAATTCTGACGTCGCTGGAGAAAATGTGAAGATGTGGCAACAGTGGGCCTGCGATCCCAGGTGGCAGTACCTGGGCTGCCGGTTCAGACAGGGTGTGCGCCCCCTTGAAGCCACGTGGGTTTTCTATTCCACGCCTCGTCTTCCTTCTCCCTAGCTCTCTTCCGCACCCTGGGGGAGCTGCCAGCCACATCTTTAGGTCGGAGGGAGAAATGAGGGAGAGCCGGGGTCCCGGGGCCCGTGCCCTCCCCTCGGCCTCTCCGTCCTCCCCGGGGCCCCTGCTCACCAGGGAGTTGGGAGGTGGAGGCGGCTTGGTGATATATCTGTAGCTCAGGTAGCAGAGCCCGGCGACCAGGAAGCCCATGGAGAACAGGAAGGCTCCGGAAAAGGAGTAGGTCCACGTCTGATCTAGGTGAATAAGAGGTCAGAACAGGAAGAGTGAGGCTGCCAGTGTGGGTACTGCCAACTTGGGCCTTTTTCTCCCCTGCCTCTCGGGCCAGGCTTGCGAAGGCCTCTCCTACCCCCAGTACTTACAGGGCCCGGGGCGAGGGCACAAATGGAGGGCCACACACCATACGTCTAAATATTCGGAATTTCATCATGTTTTTACATTGTTAAGTAAAATATGTTCTGTGCTCCCACCTTGACAGATATACTTTTCATAACAACCCGGAAGGCGTGACTTTTGGTTCTTGGACGCCTCAGGGTGCTGTGCGGAAAGGTGGAGGTGCAGGGGGAAGCTCCCGCAGGCCCAGCCTGGCTCCAGCCCACACCGCCAGGGGCCTCATGCCCAAGGATATGGGCTCGTGGCCAAGCTCATCCACGCTGCCTACAAATACTCGCCCTCTGGCCACCCTTTGGGCCGAGGGCCTAAACATCGACAGAGTGTCTGCCCTCTGCAAAAAAGACCCAAGGAGAAGATCTGCCGAGACTGGACACAGGCGCTGGCCATCTGTATAGGGAATTTCGGAGCTCACAGCTTCCAGGGGGATATGCCCATGTGGACCTAAGGACTCTTCATCTCGCGGGGAGGGCCATGGCCAGAGCAGGGCTGGAGCGGGGCCTTCTAAAGTGCGGGGCTCAGAAGATGGTCCCTCTTGCCTGGGTCTAAGGACAGTCTTGCCTTCCTGGTGGGGGCGGGGGAAAGAGGCAAAGGGAGGGGAGATGTGACAATGGGAGGGGTCTGTCCTCCCCACCCGTCTACCAAGATCTGAGCTGGGAAGACCTCACTCAGGAGGGAGCCTGGGGAGGCACCACCCTTTTGAAAACGGAAGGAGAGGATGGCTAAGGGCTCTATGCTGAGCCTCTTCCCTATGGCCCTGCATCTTTGGGATGGGTGGGTGCAGCCAGGTCTTGGCATGACACACTTCCCGTCACCAATTCAAGTGGGACTGGCGAGTGGCTTGGTAAGGAAGAGGTAGCTGGAGTTTTTGTTAAAACTGGAGATTTGTATTACCTGGGGGTCTTGACTCTCCAAGTCACCCTCCTTCTGTTCCTGGCCCCTGTGTGGCTTCAGCTTGGGGAGTTGATCATCAGTTGCCAGTGACCTTGGCAATGACTGTGAACCCTGGGAATTGCTGGAGCCTTTACTTCTAGCCCACTCCTCACTCCTCCCCCAGCCCCTGTGGCTTGGGCCACTCCTTGCTCCTCCCCCAGCCCCTGTGGCTTGGGCCTCTCCCGTCAGCTTCCCACTTCCCCTGTCTCATGTACTTCCACCAGGGAGAAGACAGGACCCAAATGTCTCTATGTGACATGCCTAATATAACTGGAAAACTGTTGCTCCCTGTACCAGGGCAGGACAGGGACTTGGAACATTCCTGCCATTTCACTCACAGGGAAGTAGGAAGAAATAATGGAAGAAACACTGGAATGTGGGGTGTTAGAGGTCTGGCTCAGCCACTGATGAGACCCTCATCTTCTGCACGACCCTCTCTGGCCTCCATTTATTAATAACAGTAGCCAGCGATGATTGAACTCTTACTACATGCCATGCACTGTGTGGGGTGCTCTACCAATGTTATCCCACCAAACAGATGGCCATGGATGCTCACTCCTTACAGATAATGAAGTTGAGTCTCAGAGAGGTTAAATGACTTGAACAAGGTCACACAGCTACTCAGTGGAGAAGCCAGGATTGACATGTATAATTCCAGAGCTCATTCTCACAGACACTACACAATGATGACTCCCGTTTCCTCATCTGTAAAATTAAGATATGGGGGGAACCAACACATAGAGCCCTTTCCAGCATCAAGATGCTGGGATGGGGCTTCCCTGGTGGCGCAGTGGTTGGGAGTCCGCCTGCCGATGCAGGGGACACGGGTTTGTGCCCCGGTCCGGGAGGCTCCCACATGCCGTGGAGCGGCTGGGTCCGTGAGCCATGGCCGCTGAGCCTGCACATCCGGAGCCTGTGCTCCACGACGGGAGAGGCCACAGCAGTGAGAGGCCCGCGTACCGCAAAAAAAAAAAAAAAGAAGATGCTGGGATGATGGTCCAACACATTCTGAGAGGTAGATAAAGGAGGGATTCTGGGCTCTGGGGATAAGACAGACCCCTGGATACACGGTCAAGGGCAGGATGTTTCATTATGATACGGAAGTAAGAGGAATAAATGTGCAGTAGAGGGGACAGGCTCTAAACAAAATTGCAAAGTGGTGATTAGAGCCCAGGCTTCAGGATCAGATGAACTTAACTAGGTTCACTGACCAGCTGTGTGGTCACCGGCAAGTTGCTTAACCTCTCTGAGCCAGAGCTCCTCCTCTGTAAAATAGGGATAATGCTATACAACTTGCAGGAATGTTATAAGGATTCAATGGGATAATATAATATGGAAAGAATTTAACACAGTGTTTGGCAATAGAGTAGGTATTTAATAAATGGTAGGAATTGTTATTAATATACTTGATTATAAAGGATAAGGTGCTTTCTATATGTCACCAAGATAGCCACCATGAAGTATGATTCATTTAAAAGCAGCTACAGTCTTAGAAAAAAATAATATATCATGAGCTAGATCACGTAAGGACAAACCAATAGAAGGATATGGGTGGAGTGGCCCACATGTTGTCAATAAGCAGGAGGGCAGGGGTGGGCCAGGAATGAATGACAGTTATCTAGAAGGTCCAGGGGAGAGTCACAAATCATATACACACTCCCAACTCAGTGCCTGTGAAGTTGGTTTCCTTTTTCTAGTTCTCTAATTGCCAAGTTCTATTCTGGTCTTCATGTGGCCCTTTCCCCGGGAAGGGCATGCCCCGTGCAAGAGGTCAGTGCTGGCTGTTGTTCCGCCAGGCATATCTTCCATGAAAACAAATGCACTGGGACTCGGGTGGAGAACTCAGTCTCTTGTGGGCTTTAGGGGAAACCGATGAGCTGAGTTTCTGAGCAAAGCTGAGAACCAGAACCTACCCTATGATGTTTCTACCAAGCTGCAGTTATACCCTCGGGCCCAGCCTCTAGCAGCTGCCTCGCTTCTATTCATCAGAACAGAAATCACCTACTGACATCATTAATCTAAACAAGATGACTAAGGTGGAGACTGTTTTCCAAATCCATCCAGTCCAATGCGATCGCTGTTTTCATCCTCTAAACTTGGAGCATTACATTTCTATCTCTACGAAAATAAGCACTAATAAAAACATCATGATGCTTACGATGAGAGTCGAGCTTCAGTGTGCTAGAGTCGAGTGGGATGGGACAGCATCCTGCTGAGCCAATGACTCAAAACTCTTTCTATGGAAGTGCAGCGGTGAGAACGTGTTCTCTGGAATTAGGTCTAGTTCCATTCCTCACCACCTGTGTAATCTTGGGCAAGTTACTTAACCACTCTGAACCTCATTTTCCTCAATGGAACAAAGATGCTGCACAGAAGCATGAGAACTGTGTTTCGTAGTGTCTGGTCCCTGGTTGGCACTGCAGAAATGCTATTATAATCACTGCTATTTTTATTTGACTTTAGAAGGTACTGAGGGATCTTTGTTATCTTCTCTGCTCACCCATCTGCAGATTATTTCCTGGGCTCTCTCACTTGAGTTAACATCAAGGTGAATTTGCTTTGCCAGGATACACACGCAGCTTGCCAGAGAGAGGAAATTCAGACATAGGCTGGAGGGTGGAGACTAAACATTTGCTATGATAACCCAACAGCTAACTCATTTATGAATAAACAAAGATTGACTTTAATAATACACTAGTAATCCTTCTGTGGTTTTCTAGAGCACTGCCAAGCCTCACCTTGGTTACAGGGGGGAAAGCACAGAGTCAAGGTTTGAATTCAGGAGTCCCAGTTCCCTCTGGCTTCAGCTGAAGTACCTGGCAGCGTCTTCGCTCGGTACATGTACGGGATGCTCTTCTTGGACCAGGTTGGAACTAAACTCACGATGGTCCCAAGGAACTCCGTGTCAGGGGTCAGGCCAAAGAACTCAAATTCTCTCTGCTTGCCTCCAAGGTGCTGAATTTGACAGAGAACACAGAACAGCATCTCTTACACACCAACCTCTATGTGGAGCCTGCTTACACCTCTGCCTGGGTTACTGCACTTAGTAAAATGGTACCACCAGCTGCCCAAACTGCAAACTGGTAGGTCAGTCTGCAGTGCTCCGTTTCCATTCCCCTACCTTCTGCTTTCTCCCTAAATCCAATCAGATGCAAGCTCCATGCACTTTCACTGGGAACAGTGTCTGGCACATAGCATGCACTCTCTAAATACTAGCTGCTGTTATTATCACCACCATCATCAACACCCCACCATTCTTCCTTCTTCCAGTTCTCCTCTTGCCCCCCCCCCACCTTTTTAAAATAAAATATCGAAAACGCTTTGAATATCCATCCCTCTCTTGTCTCCTCATTGCTTCTGCCTTAACCGGGCCTCAATATCTTTGGCCTGGACTCTTGCAGTGGCCTCCTTACTGGTCACCAGTCTCTGGTTTTGTCCCTGTCTACTTCCAAATTTATCCTGGTGCCACAGTGATCTTTCTAAACAATTAACATAATTACAAAGCTCCTCTGTTGAAAATCCTTTGATGGCCCGGGTCATATTACAGGTCCTTGCTCCCTTTGCTCACTCTTCCCCCCCTAGAGCCCGCTTGGTCCTTTAGGCTCTGGTGACTTTGAATGCCCGTCGCTCCTGCAAACACTCCGCTTCTGAAGTAAGCCCTTGCTCCTTTGCATCTGCCCATCCTTCCGCTAGAGCTGCATCTCAGTTCTTGCCCTCTTGTATGTCTCGACCCTCTCTGACCTTGACCTCTTCCCGTGGCCTCGCTCCGTCATTCTTATTCTCCTCCTACCTCTCCGATTGCTCTTTTACTGGTTTCAGCCCCTCGATTGCTCTTTTACTGGTTTCAGCCCCTCGATTGCTCTTTTACTGGTTTCAGCCCCTCGATTGCTCTTTTACTGGTTTCAGCCCCTCGACTGCTCTTTTACTGGTTTCAGCCCCTCGACTGCTCTTTTACTGGTTTCAGCCCCTCGACTGCTCTTTTACTGGTTTCAGCCCCTCGACTGCTCTTTTACTGGTTTCAGCCCCTCGACTGCTCTTTTACTGGTTTCAGCCCCTCGATTGCTCTTTTACTGGTTTCAGCCCCTCGATTGCTCTTTTACTGGTTTCAGCCCCTCGATTGCTCTTTTACTGGTTTCAGCCCCTCGGTGTTGTTCTGCAAGTTTCACTCCTCACCCATTCTTTCTTCTCTTTCCACATATTTTCTCACTTAGTGATCTTTTCTGGACCCGTGGCTCTGGTGATCACCAATGTGCGGATAACCCCCAAAGTGACCTCAGTAAGAGCTACGGAGTTCCCGGCACACACCGCCAGCGTCCTCCTGGACGGCAGTCTGTGGGCACCTCTAACCTGACATGTCCAAACATCCTGATCTCCTCTCTCTGGGTCCTGCCCCATCTCCAACCCCAAACCCGCACCTGTATTTGATTCCCTAATTCTGTTCATAATGTCTCTCTTGTTCGAATGTCCAAGGCTCAAACCTTAAAACCATTCTTGACAAATCCCTCTCATATCCTTTGTATCTGATTACCCTGAAATAATCCATAAACTTTTCTTTAAAGGGCCAGGAGCTATATTCTTGGGAGCTTAAAAGCTAAGAATTTTCTTTTTGATCCTTTGCGTTTCAGCTATGCCTCCTCTCTTCCAGGCACATGGCGGCCAAGGTTTAGCGTTATTTGTTGTTTTTTCTTTTGAAGGGGGTGAAAGTGGGTGAAGAAATGCATGAATGGATTTAACAGCTTATTGTTTTGTGGAACTCATATGGTTGAAATTTACCCCAGCAGAGTTGTCAAGGCCCCAAGAGTCCTCCTTCCCTGGGTGTTCACTGCCGCCCCCCTGGTTCAGGCCCTTCTCGTTTCCAGCCTAGTACCATTGCAATAGCCCCCCGACTTCCCACCCTGATCACTCTTTCATTTCTACATTTGATCTCTCCTCTTCCTGCTCCCAGTAATTTATAGCTTCTATTGGACCAACCTTCCATAAAATAACAGCTATAAACTCTGGCCAAAATAAAAACTACCTATAGGCATTGGAAAGTAAGTAAAAGCAGGCAGATACCAGAGAAAGGAGGAAGGGAATGGCACTGAATGAGTTTCTCTCTCTTTTTTAATGTCCTGTAGCCTGGAGGCAGGCCCCCATTTATACCATGTGGAGTGGATGAAACCTAGATTAAAAACCCTGTAATCTTACTGGTTTGAGTAACCAGAAGACAGAGTTCAGGGCAATCACAAAAGTTGGAAAGTGAGGGAGAAATCACAGATAGGAGAGGTTCATAGAGAGAGGGCCTGAATTCTGTGTATAAACTTTGCCCAAATCCCTGGTTGGTGCCTAAAGTATGCATGAGCAGGGTAGATTCCAAGCAGCCCAGCTAAAGTTTCAACTGAACTTTACTGAACTGAGATTTTGGAGTTTGAAGTTCAGCCAAATTCACTGCCTACTAAGACAAAGAAACAAATAAAAATCAATACTCTTTGGAGGAATATGACAGAATCCAGATTCCTTTCAACATATCATTCACAATGTCCAGGATGCATTCCAAAATTTTTAGACACGTAGAGAAAGAGAAAATGTAATCCATATTCAGGAGAAAAGACAGTTAATGGTGACCTATCCCAAAATGACCAAAATGTTTGAATTATCAGATAGTGTTAAAGTGGCTAGTATAACTATGCTCAGGAAGTGAAGGAAAACGTGCTCAGAATGACAGAATGACTAGGAATTTTCAGTAGCATAAACTATAAATACTAGAGACTATAAAAACTAGAAACTATAAAAATTAGAGAATTTAGAACTGAAAAATACAATATCTAAAGTAAAAATTCCCACTGAATGGTTTTAACAACAGATTGGAGATGACAGAAGAGTCAGAGAACTTGAAAATAGAATAGAGAGAATTAAATAGTGGTGACGGTTGGACAACTTCTTGAATATACTAAAAACCACTGAATCCTACACTTTAAAGGGGTGAAGTTTGTGGTATGTGAATTATATCTCAAATTTTAAAAAGGGAAAGACTGTCAGAATGCTGTCTACAAGAGGTACACTTTAAATATAAAGGCACAGGTAGTTTGAAAATAGATGGATGTAAAAAGATATACAATGAAAATTATAAATATAAGAAGGCTAGAGTAACTATATTAACAGCAGATAAGGTAGAGTTCAATAAAAAAAGTATTATTAGTGATAAAAAGGGACATTTCATAATGATAAAAGGGTCAATTCCCCAGGAGGCTATAACAATCATAAATGTGTATGTGTCTGATAATAAAGCTTCAGATATGCCCAGAATTAAAAGGGAAAATAGACAGATCCACAATCAAAGCTGGAGATCGTAATACTCTCAGCAATTAAGACAATAATAGACCTCCCCCAAATCAGGAAAGACATAGAAGATATGAATAATACTATTAGCCACCTTTATCTCATTGATATTTATAGAGCACTCCACCAAACACCCACAAAATACGTATTCTTTTCAAGTGCATGTGGAACATTCACCAAGATAGCCCATATGCTGGGCCATAAAACAAGTCTCCATAAAGGACTGAAATCATACAGAGTATGTTCTCTGATCACAAACTGAATTAAGTTATAAATCAATAACAATAAAATATTCAAATGCCAAATATTTGCCAAAAATTAGTTGTGATAAAGACTCTCCCTGATCTGTAATCTCTAATCGCTCCCCGACTACTGAAATAAATAAAGATTCCCCCATCCGCCCTCCCGACCTCTACGGCGTGCTCCCAGCCTGTCTTCTTAGGGTCAGCATTGTTCCTCTCCATCAGTGTTTCTCAAACTTCAGAGTGAGTAAGAAGCACTGGGTTGCTCACTAAAATTCAGATCCCAGGGGTGCAACGCTAGAATTTGATGAAGCGGATTATAAGGGGGCCCAAGAACCTGCATTTTATGGGTTTTTTGTTTGTTTGTTTTTTGGCCGTGAGGCATGTGGGATCTTAGCTCCCCAACCAGGAATCGAACTCGCACCCCCTGCATTGGAAGGCGAAGTCTTAACCACTGGACCACCAGGGAAGTCCCCAAGAACCTGCATTTTAAACAAAGGCTGCAGGAGATTCTGATGCCATTGGTTTGGGACCATGTTTTGAGAAACTATTCTACATGTCCCTATGCTTCAGCCCAAATGGGCAGTTTTGTGCTTTCCAACAATATCCTAAGCGTTCCTGCTTCTCTCTCTGATCATTGTGGGACAGTGTAGGCCAGTGGAGCAGGGAGGGGAGGAATGTGGGCTTGGAACAAAGCTGGATTTGAATCTTGACTATGCTATTATTTGCTGAACAATCTTGAGGAAGTGACTTAACCTCTCTGAACCTCTGCTTTCTCATTCAGAAAATGGAGATAAAAGCAACTACCTCATAGGTTTTGTGATGAAGATTAAATGACACAATAAGCATATATTACCTGGTAGACCTCAGAAATTGATATCAACACCAGAAAGTTTTCTGTTCTAGAGGTCTTTCCAGATCTCTCTGAGCTGACATCTCCTCTCTCCCCTCCCAGCCTCCATTCTGTCCCACACAACAGTCTTATTTCCCTCTACCTATAGCTGTATGAATTTGAATTCTTGTTTTAGCTCTCTCCCCACCCATTAGACTATAAGCTCCTTGAGTGCAGGAATAGTCATTCAATGTAATTATGAATTAGTGGCACACACTGCCGGGGGAAACACTGCATATTTAATTTTTTTGAATACAAAAAGAAATGTATAACATTTGACAATTTATGCCTTTGCCTTCCACCTTTCAGTATTACCGATCTTAAGACACTGCCTGTATCCAGTTCCCACGGAAAGTGGAGAACCAGCAGAAAGAACTGCAGCAGTAGAAATTGATTCCAGCATTTTCCAAAGTGGACACCTGAGGATGTTAATAGAAGTTGTTCCCCTGGATGTTAGAAGGCATTAGGCAAGAAAAAAATACATGTAATGCAAAATAAAAGGAGTTTCTCTGATCAAATACATGCGAGAGAAGTTGTATTAAGCAAATTGAAACTGGAGTCTTGACTTTGCAGTACTTGTCAGAGGCTTTAGCAAGCTATTGTGTGTGTGAATCTACAAGAGGTAGGCTGTAGACATGTTTTGGGAAACGCTGATTTATAGAACACATCCCCTTTCTACTTGAAGCAATGCAGAGAGGGAAATGGGTTTCTGAGGCAGGGAAGGACCAAGGTGGCACATATATTTACCCTTCACTTACCATTTGGTAGGTGTGGTTGATGTGCAGATCTAAGTGATAGAACAGGTCCTGGAAGATGTCCTCCAGGGTTAGCCGGTGGCCATTCCCTGTGTGGATGGGTGTGTAGGTGGGATGGACAATCATCTGGATGGATCTCACCTTGGGGATACAAGTCACATCAGGTGGTTTGATGATAGCTGGAAAAAGGGAGAGAGAAAAAAGAAATGAAAAGTTAGAATCAGCCAGGAGTGTCTGAGAGGCTGCCTTGGACCTTGGGAAATGACTGCTTTCCACCCCCTCCCACCCCAACCCCAGCCATGCTTCTGAAAGCATCAGCTAAATGAACAGGTGAGAAGAGAAGCAACTGGTGTTTGGGTGTAAGGCTGGCAAAGGGGTGACCAAGGGTGAGTGGGAAGAGCCCAGGGAGAGGGGCCCTGGACCCCTAGGCTGATCATACCCTTGTCCCAGCCTCCACACATCCCTACCTGAGTCTGCCAGGAGCACCTGTCCCCTAGTCTACTGGCAATGACAGCTTTGGGGACTGATGGTCCAACTACATATCCAAACAATGTTTGCAGTGCCCAATATTACAGGTTCAGCCTCAAAGGTCAGGCCTAAACTTCAACCTCTCTCAAGATGGAATTTCCAAATAACCAAACGACCTTGACTGGTTTATAGACCCCTTTGGGAACTTGAATGCTGTGGTTTGAATGTTATGGTTCTTTTCTCCCCCAAAATGTACATATACAAAAATCTTGCACTCAGTTTCAGGGTTTCATGAACCTCACTCCCCCGAAGCTAATTTATAGAAAGTCCTCAAGAGTCCATTGACCTCCAAGATTAAAAAGATCTGAGCTAGAAGAATGTTCGTTTCAGTGTTGTTTATAAAACGGAAAAAACTGAGTTAAGGGTCCTCCAAAAAGGAATTAGGGAAGTCAAATAGAGTACCTCTATAGAATGGATCATGTTTGCAGCCATGAAATATCGTGTTGTGGAAAAATATTTAATGACATGGGCAAATGTTCACGATACCATTATATAAAAACAACTCACCAACCAACCAGATCACAAAAGAGTAGATACAGTTGCTAGTAGCTGCAGTTATGTTTAAGTGTTCAGATTAGTTGGGCCTCTACTTTTATTTTTCTTTGTGTATTTCTATATTTTCCAAATTTTCTACAATAAGTATGCATTAACTGAACAAGCCAAGAAACAATATAAAATAACTTGTTTAACTTTATTTTTTATTTTCTTAAGAAACCCTGTGGCTTTTAAATCAGTTAGTGAACATCACCTACTTAACACGTGTGAGGAGTTTGGCAACTCATCCATCCATCCATTCATCCATCCACTCAATCCTTCATCAACTACGTATTGAGCATCTCCTACGTGCCAAGTGCTATGCTAAGGGCTGGGAACACAGTGGGTTCCGCTGCCACACACGCCCTCATGGAGCTCACTTTCAGTAAGGTAGGCAGATGATGTAAGTGTCAGCAAACCCAGTAACTGCAGATTGTGATCTGAGCTCTGAAGCCAGCGAACAGTTTATGGTGACGGAGGATAGCAGACGATGATCTAGTGAAACGGGGTTGTTGAGGCTGGCGGTGGGGATGCTCACTTAGGAGGTGATGTCGAAGCAGAGACCAAGACCAAGGATTGGAAAAGAGTCAAGGCAGGAGTAGGAGGACCGAGTTAGGGGGGCCTTGGTTGCACTCAAGTGGCAAGATTAAGGTGGTCTGAACTAGGGAGGTGGGGATGGAGATGGAGAAAAATGAACGACCACACTGGGGATGCTGTCCAGTTGAGGGCGCCTTCCCTAAAAAGCCACATCCCTAACTGGCCCTGGGAGGCAGAGTCCTTCTGGGTCCTCCACCCACTCTGGAGGGGAAGAGGCCATCCTTTTCCCGCCCTGCACCCGTTGCAATGAGGGGCTGGCACTCACTGTGCTGCAGTGAGCTGAACCGGTCGGTCATCTTAGTGGCGGACCGGCCTCCCACGTCGATGGCGGTGACCCGGGCGTAGTAGAAATCCGTAAGGTTGCCTGTCTCCATGGTAAGGTTGCAGGATTTCCGGGTGATCCTCTGGCAGCCCTCCTTTGCCTGCCACTCTGTCTCTCCGTAACTGTGGGCAAGGGAAGGGCCAGAGCACACCTTTCATGAACAGGCTTGGAACCAAGCCTATCGTTTATTGATAATGATAACGATATTGAATATTTACTTAGCACGTGTACCCAGGCCCTTTATGCGGGTGATCCTCACTACGGTGCTGTGAGGTTCATGCATTATTCTCCCTCCTTTTCAAGTAGGGGAGCTGGGGGTTAAGGAAGTAAAATTTGCCCAGGAGTTTGAGGCATGCATGCAGGGAACCAGGATGTGAACCCAGCCAGCCTGAGTTCACGTTCTGGGCACTGTTAGCCCCACTGACAGATGAGGGACCTGGGCCTCGGAGAGGGCAAGTGCCTTGCCACAGGATGAAGTGGCAGGACCAGGAATGGAACCCAGGTTTGCCGACTCCTGAGCCCATGTACCCTCCTCTCCTGCCTGGGAGAGGAGATGAGGGGGGACGGGGCGGGGTGGGGGCCTGGGAGGGGGTGGGCACGACTTTTCGTTGACCCAGTCTAACCCAACATAAAGCAATGACTGGGAGCTTGTTGTTTGCCAGGCACACGTGCTAATGACTGTCTCATGGAACCCACCTAACAACCCTATGAGGAAGGTACTATTGCTAGCTTTACTTCATGGATGAGGAAATGGAGGCTTGGTGAGGTTACCCAACCGCCCGGAGTTATAGGGAGAGAGCTGGCGTCTGTCCCCAGAGCCCGTACTTGTAACCATTATTCTAACCTCCCCCTGCAGAAGAAACATAAAGGGGCAAAGCTATGTCTGGGGGAGGGTCGCTGTGTGACACCAGTCCGGGCGGGGGGCGTGGGGACATAGGAAGAAAGGAAGGGTTTTCTTGGAGGGGTTGGTTCCAGAGCAGAGTCAAAAGGGCTTGTGTTGGAGGGACGCCTACGTCTTATACTGCACACTGTAGACAGTGTCTGGGCCACTCTCCGGCCTGCTGTCCCACGTCAGGATGTTTTCGAAGTTGCTGGACTGGAATTTCACGTGCTGGAGAAGATCTGAGGTGTCCTCAGCGAAGTGAGCTGCAGGAAATGAGAGAAGGGTGAGCAGAAGCGCTCAAAGGCTCTGCCCCAGCCCTGCAGCAAGCTGCCCCCTGAGCGGCAGCCAGCACTCACTCAGCGGAGAATGTGCTAACTGACCAGCCCCGCTCCCCTTCACTTCTTTTTTCCTTGGTATTGAGCTATGATTCCCATTCCATGAAATGCACCACTTTAAAGCATACAGTTCTGTGGTTTCCTAATATATTCACAAAATTGTGCAACTGTTGCGGCTAATCTAGTCGCAGGATGTGTTCATCGCCCACAAAGAAACCTTGTATCCATGAGCAGCACTCCCATCCCTCTCCTCCCAGCCTCAGCAGCCAATAATCTGCTTCCTCGATGGATCTGCCTATTTGGACATTTCCTGTAAATAGAGGCATCCAGTATGTGGCCTTTTGTGTCTGGCTTCTTTCACTTAGCATCATGTTTTCAAGGCTCATCCATATTACAGCATGAATGGGTACTTATTTCTTTCTTATGGCTGAATCATATTCCACTGCGTGGATAGACCACATTCTGTTTATCTTCTCATCAGTTGATGAACATTTGGGTTGTTTCCACTTTTGGGCTATTTTGAATAGTGCTGCTGTGAACATTTGTGCACAAGTTTTTAAGTGGACACATGCTTTCAGTTCTCTTGGTTATAGAGCTAGGAGTGGGATTTCTGGGTCGTACGGTGATCCTATGCTGAACTTTTTGAAGACCTGCCAAACTGTTTTCCAAAGCGGCAGCTGCACCATCTCCTATTCCCACCAGCAAAGTTTAAGTGGTGCAATGATTCCATATCCTTGCCAAAACGTGCTGTTGTGTTCATTCATTTCTCAACACCGCCTGAAGTTAGCGTCCTCACCAATGGAATTTTTTTTTTTTTTTTGCGGTACGCGGGCCTCTCACTGTCGTGGCCTCTCCCTTTGCGGAGCAACAGGCTCCGGACGCGCAGGCTCAGCGGCCACGGCTCACGGGCCCAGCCGCTCTGCGGCATGTGGGATCTTCCCGGACCGGGTCACGAACCCGTGTCCCCCGCATCGGCAGGCGGACTCTCAACCACTGCGCCACCAGGGAAGCCCATCCAATGGAATATTTTAGAGGTATTCAACTAAATGTTGACTGTCGAAGAAGTAACTTGCCCAGAGTCAGTAATTTCAGACAACAGTGGAGAAGATGTCTGTGAATTCCTGCCTCTCTGCTGCTTGAACCAATCCCTGCCCACCCACCACATTCCTTCTGAGGAGGGCAAAGGCACCTTCCCCAGCCACACGGATTTCGTAGGAGGTGGATTCTGACTGAGGCTACATATGGGCAGCGTGACCTTGGGGAAGCTGTTTAAGCAGCTAGAACTTCAATTTCTTCAGCTCTAAAATGGGAATAATTGGACTTACCTAAAGATAAACAATAATGACCACAGCAGCAGCTGACATATCTGAAATGCACGTAAAGTGCCGGGCACTGGGCTAAGTCTCCTTATCAAATCCTCCTGACAACCTGATGAGGCAGGTACTATCATTATGCCCATTTAATGGATGAGAAAAACTGAGGCTCAGAGAGGCGGCCTGCAATGCCCATCACAGTGTTAGGCCGCTTGTGGGGTGGATACAATGGGGCAAGGAAGCGGCAGCAAAAGCCAGAGCCCCAGAAAGAGGAGCCGGGAGGGGGCACTGCCACCGAAGCAATCTTCACTGTAAATGAGAGCCCTTGATTTACAAATCTCTTCTCTCAGCCCTCCTAGCTCCGTCTGTGGAAAGGAAGAGAGCGCACGAAAATGGCGGCCAGAGTCGGCAGCTGGCTCTGCGTGTGCTCAGAGGTTGACTGGGGTGGGAAATAAACAGGTGCAAATCCGGTTGAGTCAAGGCCTTGAGGTCTGAGGGTACACGTGTCTTTGATATGATGTGTGTGCACCTCCCTTCCCCCACTCCCCCATGATCGTGTGCACCAGCAGGTCCAGAGTGTGAGGGAGTGGAGGGTTATTCACCCCTCCACCACAAGTCTACATACAGTATTTCTGTAAGGGAGGCATTTGTGGGGAAGGGGAAGTATATTAGGACAGTCCAACCCTGCTGTGCATCCACATGTTAAATCTAAGGCCACATTCCTCTTTCAATCTGGGTTGATCAGACCCAGCAGCTGCAGAACTCTTTGTGTTCCAGGCTTCCTGGAGCCCCCAGAATGGGACCTAGGGCACCAGGGGGTTCCTTCTGCCTCTAGCCAATGTGATGGATGTGCTGCCGAGACTCAAGTTGTGGCTGGTATCTTGTTTGGACCCGAGTCTGGGCAGAATTGGGGTCTGTTCTGGAGGGAGGGGCATGGGTTCAGGGCTGGGTCTTAAGTTGAGGGAGGGAGTGCACTTGAAGTCAGAGCTCAATGGTGGCTTTGGGCGAGGTGGTGAGGTCAAGGGCAGGCAAGAGAGAGGGTGGGATTTGAGAGAAGGCCAGGGTGTGTCTGGGGGTGGGCTTGGCTAATCCGTGTGGCTGGGGAAGGGCTTGGCTAAGGTCTGCAATGGGAGGGTTGCTGGTTAGGGTCAGTATCCTGGGGGGGGGCATGTGGGTTTGGAGGAGGTAAGTGGCTGAGGTTGGGACATGCTCGGGAGGTGAAGGGCCCAGGTTGGGTGGAGGTTGGCACCACTTTTAAGGAGGGAGCTCAAGTTGGCTTCCTGAAGTCGTGTGGGTGGACCTTGGCTGACCCCTCTCTTTGAGGAGGTGATGAGGGCTAACAAGATCTTCTGTCTCCTCTCGCCCACTCATTCCTTTTCCTCTGCAAATCCACCACCGGTTCCTCAGCCCACGTGGGTTTTGCACTTCCTGGGTGAAAGTCTACATTGTGAAATCGTGTATTATCTAGAAACTGACAGCCTGGGGGATGTGATCAAGGGAAGTTTTCTCATTCGCTTGAAAAAAACAAGTCTATGTCAACTAGTTGGGAAGCTAAGGACAAACAAACAAACAAAATCAGTTCAAACATGTTTTGGAATCAGCCTAAGAATGCCGGGGGGGTGAAGGCACCTGGGGCTCTAGAGTGAACTTACTGACTCCTAACAACCTCCTAAGGGCTGCTTCCCCTGTGTCCCCCATCGTAAAGGGCCAAGAGCCTCTAAGTCTTCCAACCGGAATGGGTGAGGGTCTAGAGGGACATGTCTGAGGTCTCTCGGGAGATACATCAAGTCTCCCTAGATCACAATGAGTCCAGTGTGCTGTGAATGTTCTGTTTGATGCCAGGGGGAGGACGGACTGGAGAGCCCGGGTGGCAGCTGGAAGCGCTGTGGACCTGGTCAGCACCTGCAGGGCACAGCTGTGGCCCTTTATGGCCTCCAACCTGCACTTAAGGTAGAAGGGGTCTTGCAGAGGCCAGCCCTCTCCATTCTTCAGTCAGGAGTATGCGTTCACTTCCTCAGAAAGTTCCCTGAATTTTTTTAAACATCTCAGGCAGCAGAGAGACAATCTAGAATCTCATGCATTGGTCTGGAAGTTCTCCATAATGATACATCAAAACAATCCACTTTATTGGATTTGAAAACTGTGCCCTTTTGTCCTGTTTTCATAAGAGCTCTGGTCTTTTAAGACCTATTGATGCAGGAGACCTGGGCCCTCTGGGAGAAAATGCTCTTTCAGGTCTGGCACGAGGGGCTGGAAGAGGCCCCCCAGGGGCGTGGAAGGAGGCAATGGCTGGACTCAAGCTTTGTCCTTCCTGACGCTCCCTCACCTCCCCATGTGAGGCCAGTGCCAGCCAGAAGCAGAGGAACAGAGGTACATTTTCTGCCAGAAAGATTTGAGGAATCCAGGGATGTCTAACTCCCTTAAGCTAATCTCCATCCACTGGAGTGGGGGGATCCACACCCCCACTTCAGACATGTGGCTGTATCCCCAGAGTCTTGAGGGTCAGTTGAGTCTCTGAAGAACCCAGGGTCTGAGGGACCCTCTCATCCTTCCCAGTAACCTGAGCTGGCATCTACTTCTCTAGGGAAACTCGGCACCCAGGTCAGCCCAGCAGAGAAGAAATTGAAACTGGTCGTGCTGGGGCTGGATGCAGTCCTGGGGGAGACGACCCTGATCATTGGCTCCTGGATGGAGGTCAGTTCTGACCGCAGGGTGACCGGCACTCACCGACAAGGGATCCCGCCGCCAGGATGACCAGCAGCGTCCTCATCGGGACCCGGCACACAGCCCTCTTTCCGTCTCCACTCTGGACTGAGCACAGAGGGAGGGCTGGGAAGGTTTGGCGCCTTGGCAGCTGGCTCCACCCAGGCACGAGGGCGGGGAAAGGAGGGGAATGTGGGACCTGAGCCATGGGGAGCTGGGTACAAAGGTACCTGGCCCATTGCTTCGGAATTCCAGGTTCTGGGCGGGATCCAAGGGAGTTCCCTTCTTAGTTGCAGAAAACAGCAACAGTGACAGACTGGCTTGTTTATCTGGTCTGGTGGCTGATTCATCCCAAGATTCTTCAGTCCTTATTAGGGAACTGAGAGGCAGAAAACGTAAAAATAATCCACGACATACAGCCTTATCAGAGAGCAGCTTGGCACTGGGTATCAGAAGCCTGCAACTTACAAATACCTTTTGCCTCACTGAGTCCATCCTCAGGAATTCACCCTGAGGAAAACAACTGGAGCAGATGAAGGAGCAGAAAATATGTTCCAGAATGTTCCTGGTGGCAGAGGAAAAGCTAGACTCCTCGGCTTCGTTCTGGCAGGAGGAGATACAGGGTGTCTGCTGCCCCTGCTTATGCCACGTATTAAAGCAGGTACGCCATGCTGGATGCTTGAGGGTCAAGGGGGATAGCACTCCTCCTAGAGAGGCTGCTGGGGGTGAGAAGTCCAGGCACTCCTACACTGAACCTTTGGGGTCTGGGAACTGCAAAACGTTAGGAAAAAATGTATCAGAGATTTCAGTGACTCTTACTACTGTGCTATAGATGGGGCCAAAGAAGATATACAGACTGCCAACAAACACATGAAAGAATGCTAACATCACTAATCATTAGAGAAATGCAAATCAAAACTACAATGAGATATCATCTCACACCAGTCAGAATGGCCATCATCAAAAAATCTAGAAACAATAAATGCTGGAGAGGGTGTGGAGAAAAGGGAATCCTCTTACACTGTTGGTGGGAATGTAAATTGATACAGCCACTGTGGAGAACAGTATGGAGGTTCCTTAAAAAACTACAAATAGAACTACCATATGACCCAGCAATCCCACTACTAGGCATATACCCTGAGAAAACCATAATTCAAAAAGAATCATGTACCAAAATGTTCATTGCAGCTCTATTTACAATAGCCCGGACATGGAAACAACCTAAGTGTCCATCATCGGATGAATGGATAAAGAAGATGTGGCACATATATACAATGGAATATTACTCAGCCATAAAAAGAAACGAAATTGAGCTATTTGTAATGAGGTGGATAGACCTAGAGTCTGTCATACAGAGTGAAGTAAGTCAGAAAGAGAGAGACAAATACCGTATGCTAACACATATATATGGAATTTAAGGAAAAAAATGTCATGAAGAACCTAGGGGTGAAACAGGAATAAAGACACAGACTTACTAGAGAATGGACTTGAGGATATGGGGAGGGGGAAGGGTAAGCTGTGACAAAGCGAGAGAGAGGCATGGACATATATACACTACCAAACGTAAGGGAGATAGCTAGTGGGAAGCAGCCGCATAGCACAGTGAGATCAGCTCGGTGCTTTGTGACCGCCTGGAGGGGGGGGATAGGGAGGGTGGGAGGGAGGGAGACGCAAGCTGGAAGAGATATGGGAACATATGTATATGTATAACTGATTCATTTTGTTGTGAAGCTGAAACTAACATACCATTGTAAAGCAATTATACTCCAATAAAGATGTTAAAAAAAAAAAATTCAGGAATGGGCCTTCGGTTTGTGACAATGAAGGCTCAAACTGCTCACCAAAGCTGTTCCACCATGTGGAGGTGTATCTACAGGGATAACATGAAATCCACTGGGATGGGTGTTTAGGAAATGATTTTCCTCTTCTTGCTGGGCCTCAAGAGAAGATTGAAGGGGCCTGGACTCTGGTTAGGGTAGACATGATCAGAGATCTCTGCCTCTGGGGAGAGTCTGGCCAGCCCCAGCCACACAACAGCAGGCTGAGTCCTATAGCAGGACAGCCAGACCCTAAGGGAGGCTCTAGAGGGCTTGGCTTTAGGATGTAGTAGGCCGTGATATCCAGGGATCTGTATTTAAGTTTTTCTTTTCTGTGTTGTAATTGTTTTCTGTCATCTCTGAGTCTTTGGCAAAGTTAGACAGCACGGCCACATTTGAGCTGTGCTTTGGGGGAATTAAGGTATGATATTGTGCCAGTCCCTTCCTATTAATTGCAGGAAACTACATTTCCCAGGCCCCTTTGTCAATGGTTTCCTGTTAGGTCCAGCCAATGGGAGGCACTAGAGGACGGCTGGGGAGCTGGAGGAGAGAAGTCAGGGTATTTCTCCCCTTCTTCCTCAGCTCTGAGTGGCATCCCCTGCAATGGCTGTGTCTCCTCTGGAGCTGCAGCTGCCTCCAGCCAGGTAGCTGCCACCATTTCTCCGTCAGGTGGCCTGGGCTCTGATAACAACATCTCCTCCTATTTTCCCCTTTAGCTCAAAGGACAGAGCAGCTTCCTGCTGTGGTGACTTTCTGGGCTGCTTCCCATCCATGATTGGATTCTCAGCTCTTCCATCACCTGGGTAACCAGTTCCCTTTTGTGAAAGTCTCTTGGTTTGAAAGACTCAATGGATTTCTGTGTTCCTGAATGGACTATGATGGATGGGGGGGCCTTTGATGACTTTTGGGACAAAGGGCTGTGGGGAGATCACGGCCAGAGAAAGAGGTTACAAAATGCCAGGAAGGGCCCGTCGGGAGAGGTGCAGTCGCTGGAGCAAGCTGGGCTGGCTGGCTGAGAGGACAAGCTGCAAGCCAGCTTGTCTGGGTCTGTGGAACATGAGGTCTTCCTTGGGGACTCTCAGAAGCACCTGGAGGAAGGAACCTATGAAAGAACTAGGCCCCCCATAGTCATGAGGAACTATGACTGTGGGACTATTAATGACAAAGAAGACACCTGGATTATTTTTATTTATTTATTTATTTAGGCTGCATTGGCCCTTCGTTGCTGCGCGCGGGGTTTCTCTAGTTGTGGTGAGTGGGGGCTACTCTTTGTTGCAGTGCGCGGGCTTCTCATCGCGGTGGCTTCTCTTGTTTTGGAGCACGGGCTCTAGGCGCGCGGGCTTCAGTAGTTGTGGCACGCAGGCTCGGTAGTTGTGGCACACGGGCTTAGTTGCTCCACAGCATGTGGGATCTTCCTGGACCAGGGCTTGAACCTGTGTCCCCTGCATTGGCAGACGGATTCTTAACCACTGTGCCACCAGGGAAGCCCCTGACACCTGGATTATTAAAGAACTTGGGAACATCCAGACATCATTTCTAATAGTAAAAAGAATAAAAGTAAAAGAGAACAGCATCCATGTCTGACAGTAGGGGTTTGGTTAAATGCATAATGGTAAGTCCATCCAATGCAAGGCGAATGCAGCCTTCAGAATAACCCTGGAGAAAACTGTTTTGTGGCCTGGTAAAGAGTCACCATATTTTGTTAAATGAAAAGAAGCATATGGGGGAATTCCCTGGCGGTCCAGCAGTGGTTAGGACCCTGCGCTTTCACTGCTAAGGCAACTGGTCGGGGAACTAAGAAGCATGGCACAAACTATGTATAGTACAGGCTCGTTAAAACACATACACACGTAGAGAAAAAAGTCTGAAGGATATATGTGAAAATATTCAAGGAATTATCTCTGGGTGGTAGTAGAATTAAAGGTATTTTTCTTTTCCTTCCTTTGCTCATCTGCATTTTCTAAAGTTCTTACACGAAATGTATTATTTTATACTAAGGAAGAGTAAGGTGACTACACAAGACGAGTAGACTGAAGAAATGCCTTTATCTGGGCTGGACCCGTCTCTGGGGATATGCCATTTCTTCTCCCTCAGCCAGAGTCCGTCTTCTTCAAAGCCAGCTGGGATGATTTCTCCTCCTGCAAGATGCTCATGACAACTCCAGCCCACCACAGATTCACTCAAAAAAATCCTTCTAGAAGATGTGGCATATATACAATGGAATATTACTCAGCTATAAAAAAGAATGAAATAATGCCATGTGCAGCAACATGGATGGATCTAGACATCATCATACTAAGTGAAGTAAGTCAGACAGACAAAGACAAATATATGATATCACTTATATGTGGAATCTAAAAAAAAATGTTATTTACAAAACAGAAACAGACTCACAGACTTAGAAAACAAACTTATGGTTACAAAAGGGGAAAGGTTAGGGTAGGGATAAATTAGGAGGTTGGGATTGGCATATACCCTACTATATATAAAATAGACGATCAACAGGGACCTACTGTATAGCACAGGGAATGCTATTCAATACTCCGTAGTGACCTGTATGGGAGGGGAATCTGAAAAAGAATATATATATAT